ACTAGTAAAATGTTTATCAGGATATCAGCAACATTTTACTAGTTAGCCACTTTTTGATATCTTTCACAGAAAATGAGATATATAGGCTCAAAGTGGACGATCCGGGTGTCGTTCTATTAGAGGTTTTACGGTAATTTTTTGCAAGAATTCAGTTTTGAATTATCACACCTAAAAATACCTAAAAATCATGATTGTGCTTTTATCTATGAAAACGTTTCACGCCTAAAAATCATGTTTGTGCTTTTATCTATGAAAACGTTTCACAAAAGTGGCCCAATGCACATTTGCACATTTGCCGTATTGCCCCTGAAATTCTAATGGATTTGTTGGGAATTTCACTATGAAGAATTTCTGAGGAATTTGCAAACAAAAGTTACAGTAGGCTTCCTCATTTTTATTTATAGGGTTTGGTATAAATAACGAGAGAAACACTTGATAATCATACATATGCAAGCGTTGTTGCAAAGCCGTTAATATTTTTCTAACTGTTTCTTTTTTTGTGACTACAGTAATCTTCTTAAACAGTACCTGTGACATAGTTGAGAACACAGCCCATCCGTGCTTCCATCTCATCTGTGTCCACTTCTTTCCTCCCTCTTTTTGTGATCATCTGACGTCGTTATGGTGATATTGTAGGTGCTCGATGGAAGTAGATTATCCACAACAAACTCATGAGCTTTGCCAGGTTCTCCAATCGCCGAGTTTTCAATTTCTTTGAAAATTCCAGTTGGAGAATGAATCGTTTTCGCTTTGATCTGGAATTTTTTAGGGGGTTTGAAAACCGAGATTGGGTCATCTTCTGGGTTCTGTTATTTTTAGGTCAAGTTTTGACAATTCGATAAAATGGTTAGGGATTTTTCAAATTATCTGAAAATTTTAGAGTGTATTGAACTAATCTAGATTGACGTGAAACTACGGTTACTCTAAAAGTAAGCCACAAAACTCTCAGTTTATCATAAAACCTGTAATACAAGGGCATTCACACTGTCGTTTTAGAGCTAATTTTCCTTGGCTTCTATGCAAGATATCAAAAAGTGGTCAACTGGTAAAATGATTATGATAATATGATGAACAATTTATCAGTTGACAACTTTTTGATATCTTCTACCGTGACCGAGAAAAATTAGCTCCTAGTTAAAAATTAGGGGGCCTTTCTATTACAGGTTTTACGGTTTCTCTTTCAAATTTGCTCAACCCATATTTTATTCTTTTACAAACACTTAATCTAGTTAATCTAATGTGACCACACCTAGATACCGCCCCTTCTTGCTAACGGTTAAATTCGTAGAAAAGAAGGGAAAACATGAGAAATGAGAAATATCTACATTTAGATTCGAAAGGAGTGTGACAGTTATCCCTGTACAATACGGTAAGAACACTTATAGTTCAAAGTCTCACCGTAAATTTAGAAGTGGCTTTTGTTAGCCAATTTGCTGGCCAGTACACCGTAAGTGAGTTAGGGGTTCTTGCTCTCAGCTTCAGAATATTCGCTTCATCCGTATCCAACGTGGCATAAGCACACCAAACTTTGTTACCGTATCCATAGCTAGTTCCGGCTTGAACTGTGACATTATAAGCAGTTGCAGGTTTCAAACCGTCAATTTGTAGACGTGTCAAAGGAATTGGAACTGAGATTGACCTCTTATTGGTTGACATGTTTCCGGACAAGTCGTAGACTTTGACCTAGATATGGACGAGATTAGGAATATTAGAATGATCGAAAGTTTACTAGGTGTTGAGTGATTACAAAATGATGTCCAGAGCTTCGAGGACAACTGGTGGAATCCAAGATACTTCGATAGATTCGTTTTTCCGGTCCATTAGAGTCAAGTCGGTAGGAGCGTGCAGCCATGGTAGTGCTGGAATGTCATGATTTAGATTTCTTCTAATAGAACTTTGAGCTCAATAAGCTCCATTACAGTAAGAGGTTTCAAGCAACCACAATTGACAAAATAATTGTCGTATAGATCTGTGGGCAAGTATATTAGAACAACTTTGTTCAAATTTTATAGTAGAATGGAAAGCAATTTTGATTTTTTTTTGAATTTCTTTCATTCAAATTAACTAATGGAGAATCGTTTCGACATTTCTTTTTTGGTATTTTTTTATAGTTAGAAAGAAACCTTCCTCATCAGTCATTTTCTTGCTCACCTTTTGATTATAAAGAGAACATAATCATGATAATGCTTTTTTTGCATTGGTGGTTTTGCAATTTTCCGATGAGGAATTTCTTTTCTATCTGGAAAAAAACCGATTGCAAAAGTTGCATTGCCTAATTTGATATTTTCTGAATAATGGATTTGGCCCTCTATATATATTTCAATTTGAGAGCTCACAGCCTGCCGAAACGCGATCGCGCCAAAAAGCCGCCTTCAAAAAAAAAAGCCGCCTCAAAATAATTTTCTATTGAGGGAGGGAACTGAGGAACGGTAAAAATCCGAATGTTATTATTAGTGAGGAAATTTTGAAGTGAGCAAGAGAGAATTCCCTTGATTGACATTTTTGATAAGCTTGATGAATTTCCAACATTATTGAGGAATTTCCAACACTACTATTCTGTATAAGAAGTCGGGCACTTAACTTTAGATCCAATGTTTTTGTTGTTGCTTGTCCTATTTAAATTTTTTGAACATGACGCCATTTTTGTGTTATCTAGGGAAAACAAGTCGGTACTGATGATTTTTTCCAGAATAATTTTTTCGTTCAAAATTACATACTTTCGCTGAATAATGGCCTTTTTCCTTCTACTCGGACACTGTAAAAATGCTGCAAACCGAGTCTCTCCCTCCCCCCCCCCCCCACAGGAATTAATTTATAAATATTTCTTATCGTTTGCACTTTCTACTGTCTTCTGCTCTTGCTCACCCTTAAAGTTGCGTTTACGAATTTTTACGTAATTTTAGCTCGCGCGATCGATATTAGTCTAGAACTTTCCAGAAAAAAAAGAACCTGAACAATTGAGAAACGAACTTTAACACTCCTTGAAGGCCATGTGAACGGTTGAAAGTGTATAATTAATGAAATCGATTATTCAGCAGGGTGACTCATAGTCTACATTTTGGAGTTAAATTATTATTTGTGAACCTGCCACTTCTCTTGCATATCAAACATAGCTTGTTTTTTTCATATCTCTTTTTTTTCACCTGGTTTCAACCGAATTGTATATTTTCCTTCAATATAAATTCATATTAAACAAGATATGAGACTGAAGAATAGCATCCCTGAGAACAAGAAAACCACTTCTTCAACAACTCAAAAGTTAGGAGCAACACCGGAAGTTGCTTCTTCTAGTCTTGCTGAAGGTGAATTCCTGATTTACCCTACAAAAATAATTCAGATGAAGAATTCAGAGAACTCAAATACACTTTTGAAGAATTCAGATGAACTGGAAGGTGCATCGGCTGTCAACACGGATGATTCGGAAATTGAATTCGACTACAAAAAGATTGAAGAAAGGAAAAATGCGTTTGAAGCGGAAATGGAAGCAGAGAATGCAATTCATCGGGCAGACATGGAAACAATCCGGCGGAACAGAGAACTTTTAGATGTATGTGTCATATAAATCTATTTCAATTAGAGTTCAATGAATCAAAATGAGCTGAGTCTCAAACTGGAAATTACAGGAAGAAAATAGTATCCGGATGAATCCAAGTGAACCTAGAATTGTTGAAGTGGAGGGGATCATTCAAGAGAACCAAAATATTTTGTTTACTCGGAGGGATGCTGAAGAGGACAATTTGAGCATATCATCTTCACTACTAATGAACATAAATAATGAATTCAAAACAGTATTTGTGGAGGACGACGCTGTAATCCGATTGGGAGCCCAAGTAGGTTTTGATTTAATAATTTTTGGTTTGAATTTCTTTCAGGAACTCACGAATAGAGATGAATTCCCTCTATTATTCATTGATGGAATACTAAAAGACACCAGTGAACTTTAACTTGAATAAGAACTTGAGGATGAGTCTTCCAAACCATATGTTTACAGTTATCGACAACTTTGATAATTTTATTTCAAAATTCCGTTTTTTCTATGAGGAATTGTGTTGACCAAATTTGTATATTTTAGAGTGAGCAAGTCTGAATTATTTCTGTTTTCATTAACGGTTTTCTCTTTTCATGAATGGTTTGCTCGCCCCTGCAAAAGTTATAATTTTGTTGTTTATCTTTTTATTCGGTTTCAACCGATTTCTACCTTTCCCATTTATTGTTCTATTATTAATTCATCATTTAGTGTATGGGATCAAAAAACAGCGTACCTGCTAAGCCTTCAATAGTTACAGAGTGTGAAAAAGCGTTGGGAGAAATACTACAGCAAAAAGACAACACTGAACTAACTTCTTGTAATCTTACTGAATTTATGTTTTCATAATAACAACAAACAACGAATCATTTCAGAGAAAACCGCTGATCAGGAACAAATTGAAGAATTCGAAGCACATCTTCAGTGAGATATCATTTTTTAAAAATATGAACCGAACTTCACAGTTTCAGAAAGATTGTCGCAGAAGATTGAGGAAGATGGGTAGTCGACTATCCGTATATTATGGAACCGATGTTCCCGATTTTACGGATGACATAGTTTATTTCAAATGTCCAGTGCGTTGAACAGTAGTGTTGGTTGTATCTACTTTTTATTCAGAACATTTCTGGCGTTGATGAAGAAGATCGCAATAATTTCTATAACGAACTTTGTGAATCTGTAAATGCCACACGGGATGACTTTGAGGTTGTGTATTGCTAGAAAGGGTTCTACAAAAATAAAAGTTACAGAAAGACGTTCAGTTAATCGAAAGAAAGTTGTTCTCCTGTTTACATGCTCTGTCACATATGTCATTCGAGTACAAAAGCCTAATTGAAATTATTCAGAAAGAGTCATTAAAAATACTCAACTCAGGAAACGTGGTACCAGATTGGAAGACGACATTTATGAAGACAGTTTTGAACAATTTAAAACAAATGAATTTGACAGCTAACGTAACGGGAAACCGTGGCAAATCAGAAGGTATGTGAAAAATAAAGGAAAGGTCTGTCTCATAATCGAATTCTTAAAGAACAGCACATAGAGACAAAACAAAATCCAGGAGTCGGCCAAGAGGGTAGTGATGAACAGGATTGTGAGTGATAGGATACAGTTACTTTTTTATGAAATACGTTTAGCAGGGTACCATGTTTATGTAGACGGTAAAACTGGAACTGAACGAGTGGAAGTTGCTGAAGAAAACAAGACGCTCGTGGAAGTTATTTCGAATGGAAGGATTGAGTTAGATCAGAGTGAGACAGAGAATCAGAAGGACAACGAGATAGACGATGAAGAAGAAAAAATCGGAACTGAAAATGTGGAAGAGGAAAAGGCAGAAGAAAACAAAACCACGATAGTTGATCAAGAAAATGGTCCCATTGAAATGGGCGTCGAATTGACTGAAGAATCAAACATTGAGCCAGAGAAGTCGAACAAAAAAGGTAAATTAAAAAGAAAACCTATTGCAAAACACAATCATATACTTTAAGAAAAGACTGATACAAGAATGGATGACGTAGAGGCCGACGAAGAAAATGTTGATCCTCATCTCGCCCATTCAGATCAACAAGAACCAGAAGAATTTGAAGAGTTTAACAAGTTGCTAGCTTCAAAGATAGAGAAGGGAAAGGTTGAAGAAGAATTGAAACAAAAAGAAACCCAGAGTGAAATCAACGATCGCATGGAGATGCTGAAATCTGAAAATGACAAAATCTTGATTGCTAAAGAAGAGTACGAGAAAGCCATGAAAGATTTTCAGGCACTCGTGGAAAAAAGAAACAATGAATTTCTCGAAGCTGAAAAAGCGAAACAGGAAATTCATGAGGAAGAAATGAAACGAATTAGACAAACAAGGAAGGAATTCGAGGTAAATTTCATGGGATTTTTCAAGTTGACCATATTATGGTTCGATTTTCAGGAGGAAACGGAAAGAATTCGATTGAAAGACTTGCGGGAAATTCGTGCCATGATGTTTGCATTTTCAGAATGTATCAGATTAAAATTGAATTGGGAAATCAAAGAAGACGAGTGGGGCAGCTTATTGAAACGGCTCAAGGCGTCTGTATCAAGAACGAAAAACCAATTTATCAGGTTTTTGGATTCAATGAAATCGCTTGGGGATTTCGATGCAGAAGATACTAAAAAAGTAGAACTGTTTTAAAAAACTGCTAGTTCATTCTCAGTTTACAGGAGGAACTCAGCAATCTTCACAGTCAAACTTTTTCAACTTACGATACCCTTTACGAAGCTTATCTATTCATCAAAATGCTTTCGACTGAGTTTCAAGATCGTAAATTTTTAGTCGTTCTACAGAAGAGGTTATCAGATGTTTGTCAGTGTATTTTATCAGCTTTACTGGAGATTGATAATGCTATGGTGATAATTATTCCAGAGAACATTAATCATCTATTTACAGACCAATCAAAACTATCTGGAGTCACTGAAAGAAAAGTTCTCAAAGTTTGATTCATCCGATATATTCTATACATCGAAATTGAGAGAGATGGAAAAGAATTTCGTTGAGGAGACTTATCAAAACATTGTAGACCCAGAAAAATATATTCCGAAAAGTGAAGTTGTCATCGATCAAATGTCCGATTCAAATGAAGCTCAACCTGGGAACGTGGAGGAAGCTCCGGGTGAGCAGTCATTGTTTCAAAAAACGACCTGCTTATAGTTTCAGATCACCCAAATCATGAAATTGGAGAAGGCAAACGGCAAACACCCGAAGACCTTGACACAGAAAACACCCAACCATGTTATTGAACAGAACGAAAGAATAGTCTCGTGTTGAAAAAAAAACAAACATGTTTATAGCAGCTGTTTACCATCTGTCTCCCGGTCACTGATCATTGTTATCTACACTTCAATACTCTCTAAATACGTTTTTTCATTCGTACATTACCACTTTTTTGTTTCTATTGATTCACTTTTTTGTATTGAATAAATTATTCGCGAACGTTCTTATGATGGATTGGGTTGTTGAAGTACCACGAGAATTGATCCAGGAATTGAGGAATCCTAATCGAAAGGTGAGTTTCAAATTTCCTGTGTTTTTTTAGTGGATTTCGCCCATTTTGCCCATTTTTAAGAGTTTGGAGATCGGCTGTCTAGTTTTCGATCATTTTGAAAATTTTGGAGGGTGTAGAACAGACCTAGATTGAAAATTTTCGCAGAATTTTTTGAAAATTCCTAGTTTTTCAGCTATTTGCCCATTTCTGAAAGACACCCCATTTTGTCCTGTTTTTGTACTAAAAACGTAAAAAAGTACTAAAAACGTACTAAAAACGTAAAAAACAGGTGTCTCTCAGAAATCGGCAAATAGCTGAAAAACTAGGAATTTTCAAAAATTACCTTGGATGAAAATGTTTCAATCCAGGTCTGTTTTAAACTTTTTAAAAGTTTTAAATTGATCGGAAACTTGCCAGCCAAGCTCCAGATTTCTGAAAATGATCCAAATGGCCGAAAGACAGCTGAAAAATATGTTTTTGAATAACTTATCGGTAATCTATGTTGCCATTCTTCTTCAGAACCAGAATGTCAATTAGAGAATCCGAATTCAATTTTCCAGAGACCAATTAAAACGATTCTCCGAGAAAACTGGGGTCTTGTTGAAAAAATCGACACAAACCTGAAAAATGGTAAGGAACTACCAGAAACTTTACCGCTATTGGTGGTTCATCTCATGCAAAACTTCATGACCGTTGTCAGTTTTTTGGTGAACCCTCGAAAATTATCCACCCGAAAACGAAGGTCTTCTAATGAGACTCCTGATGAGATATGGAATTTTGAGAACGACTTGAGAGAAGCGCAAAAGGTAAATTGAAATGCCTTTGTTTGAAATTGACACATGTCTTTAGGATTGGAAAACGTTTTTCTACAAGTATGAAAAAGAGTTTTTGATATTGGCTCGAAAATCGAAAGTATCTGCTGGTGTGAATTTTCACGAGGAGCTATGGAGACGTTCAAGACTCCAGGTTGGAATTTCAATGTTTTTCAATCTTCTGAAAATATTTTTTTTTCTTTAGAAATTGACATCATTCGTATTCCAAATTGGGGAGAAGGTGCAAAACAAAACTGTCAGTATCATTCCTCCATCTCGTTTCTTGTTTGCGTTCGTAGGATTTCTCGCCAGTTGGACAATTGTTCCAGTTTTTAACACCCCGAAAAAATTGGGTGAAGCAACTTCAAATCTTCTGAAACCTTCTGAAAAGATAACTCAAAATGGATATAAGAATGGGAAACAAAATGGAAAAGAAAATGGGTCAACGAAGTAAGCTCTGTTGTTCAGATTCCAGGTATTCTGCTTGATTTTCCAGGTCATCAGCTGAATCTAAAATCTCTAAATTGATTTTTACTCCAACAGAAAGTCATGAGAAAATGAAACAGTTCCAGGCTGGAATGAAGAATTCTGACAAATTTATTGGAGAAAGGGAACAGGAATGGCAGGAAAAATTGAATATGTATCAGAAGGAGATCAGTGCGAGGTAGTCTTAAATTTACCGTAACACCTGTATTAGAAGGGCCTGTCAAGTTTGGCACAATACAAAAATTAGGAGCCATTCTATTACAGGTTTTACGATATTTTGCATCTTTCCATTCAGATTGGAAGTTCAAGAAAAACGACTATTTGCTGAAATTGAAAAATTCCAAGAAGAGAAAAATGCTAGAAGGCAGCAAGAGGAGGAGGAGTTCACAAAAAGAATGAATCAGCAGGATATCGAATTCCACAAAATTATCAAAAAAATTGATACTGACAGGAAGAAATTTTCGGTGAGATTGCTCACTCATCATTTTTCAATCTATATTTATTTTTGAAGCACGATGAGCAACGAGACTTGTTAGAAACATGCAAAGAGCAAGATATAGCACTTTTGAGACTTTTGGATATGTCCTTAGCACCATTAAATGTTTCGAGAAGCTGGGAAGATCACGAGGACTATTGGTCCAGTCGACTTCAAATTTTGCGGAATGCACTGGCTTCAGTAAGATCAGAGTTCTGGAATTTCGAGAGATATTTCAGACAACACTCAGAAAATCCTGAAAAGACTCCGAATTTTGTGAAAACTATCTATGAAGTGCGTGATTTTTGTTTTTTTTTTTAATATCTCGAAATACTCTATTCAGATGGAATCAGCGTCATTTGGACAAACAGTGACCAGAGCTCAAACTCTTATCAACAATCAGCATGAGTTTTTTGATGTATTATTTGATAAATATGATGATGACCTATTCCTCAAGGTGCTCTGGGTTAGTGCTTTTCCTCAGCTTCCTAATTGTTATTTTTAATTGATTTCAGAAAATCACAAGCGACGTTTCTAGTCAACTGGACAGGATTATTCTAGAAATGTGGAGTATTGCTGTCAACTCCAGTGACTTCGATCACTTCAGATTACGATCTGCTGTGCTTGAAATCGATCCATCTTCCATTCCAACCACTTGGCGCCTGAAAGGAATCTGTCATTCTGCTGATCCATCGGATTACGAAGATGCACTTAGCAACGGTTCACCATCTGTACATAGCCACTTTTGAATTTACGAGAAATAAATTATCTTCTGTCAGATCATTGTTTTTTTCGATGAACGTTAAGATAAATCGAGCGATGTATCTCATGGACAACAAGTAATGACAGCACTGAAACGAAAGGAGCAAAATGAATCAACATTCAACTACTAGCTAATCTAATCTGTAAAAGTAATGTGATATTTCTATTATGATGAAACCATAGAAGGTGGACTATGATATCATACAGGGTGGCACATAATTACCCGGACTAAAGTTTGAACTATTGTCGAATTAAAAAAAAACTTATTATCCTATGATTTCAGAATTCCTCCTCGTGTGACCGCAATTAAGGTTACAATTAGTTTCTCGTTGAAAAACAAATTCTAGAGATGCTAGCGATAATTTTCTTACCGAGAAATCCAAATTTCGTTCCTTAAAAAACGAAATTCACAGAAATTAATTGTGTTCAATACAATACCGGAATTTGGGGCTAAGTCCCGTAAATCGACACGAATGCTGTCCGCGAAATGTCAGTTAAAAAAATCGACAATAGCATAACATTTAGGGAAATCGTTGGACTGGGCTCAAATTTGGAGTGCGTAAATTCAAATAATTCATCAGTAAATTAACAACGTTTCAAATCATTTGATCAACTTTAAGCTGAGTTATCGCTTTTCAAAGTTGATTCATATCATGAAAATCAAAGAAGAAGTGCAAAAAACATTACGCCGTTCAGCTTTGGACAATCATAAAAACACCAAGATTTGAGGAATCGCTTTGAAAATTTCAGTAGCTTTGAATCAAATGTAAAGTTATATCATACTTGCAAAATTAGCCCGGCGGGCCCGAGTTCTAGTTTTTTTTTTGGAAATTTCAGACATTTTTTCAGATTTCTTGTGAAAAAATCTTTTTTTTTTGGACACTCTTATTTTGAAAATTTTTTTACTTTACAGAAAAATTGTCCATTTTTTCTTTGACCCCAAAAATTTTTTGAAGAGACAGGAAAAATTTTTTATGAAGACCCGGGCCGAGACGGGCCGGGCCCTGAAAATTCTGAAAAAGCCTGGCCCGGCCCATTATATTTCTACCGAATTTCGTGCTTCCAAGGCAATTATGTCTAAAGATGTACCAGTTGTTATCGGTCCGGTTAATTGAGCGCCACCCTGAAGTTTATAGTTAGTCAATAGACACTTCTTATCTTCTCCACTTCTATGTACCTAACAAGGAAGAAACATTTGTTGACATCGGTCTTGCTCACTCTTAAAATTCTCTTAAAATTCACCACAGGATGTCTCGGAATATTAGGTTGGCGGGAAAGTCTTTGTCACTCTGTTTGTTTAATCACTGTTCTCGTATATGGAGGCTGTGTATGATATCGACTCTAGTGAATAACAAGGTGATAAGAACCTTCCATATAAACAAGTCCCCATTTCCTTCCCTGCTCCTCATCTGTAATTGAAACGATATGTTTGTTCCCACTGCTATTCACATCAGACATGTTTTGATTTACCTCTTCCTATCTCACACCACGATGAAGGATTCGGAAACTTTCTTGAAGAATGTGTACAACACACATGCCCCTCACTACAATACTATTCGCAATTGGTTCCATCGTTTCGAAAAAGATGACTTCTCGCTCGATGAAAAGGATCGCTCTGGGAGACCCCGTGAGTTGGATTTGGACAAGCTGAAGCACGCATTGCAATCGGATCCATTTCAATCTAGCCGTGAACTAGCTGTCACATTCGGAGTTCACCATAGCACAGTCCTTGAAGGTTTGAAGTCTCTTGGAATGAGAAAACTTTTTGGTCGATTCATACCTCATCACCTGACTCAAGCCAACCTTGACCGCCGAGTCGACGATTCGATTACTCTTCTCACTCTCCACGCGGGCGATCGATGGCTGGACCGGCTAATAACCGGAGATGAGAAGTGGGTCTTCTACGATAATCACCACAGGAAATCCCAGTGGGTTGGAGAAGGAGAGAGCCCACAGGATGTCCCCAAACCCGGCCTTCATCCGAAAAAAGTTATGCTCTCTGTGTGGTGGGGAGTGGACGGCCCCATCTACTGGGAACTTCTGCCCGAGGGCAAAACAATAACTGGAGACCTCTACACTACTCAACTACGAAACCTCAAGAAAGCAGTCGACCGTTCGGCCCTGAAAGACAAGAAAGTGTACTATCAACATGATAACGCTCGCCCACATGTTTCGAAACAAGTGAAGCAGGAGCTGATGGGATATGGATGGAATGTTCTCCCTCACCCCCCGTATTCTCCTGATCTTGCTCCTTCCGACTATTGGTTATTTGGCGATATGACACGTGCCTTCGAAGGAAGAAGCTTCAATTCCCGTGGAGCGGTCGAAGCGGCACTCAAACAATACTTTGCCTCACGCCCGGCTGGATTCTACCGCAATGGAATCCATAAATTGAGGGAACGTTGGAGACATGTTGTTGATAATGATGGACAATATAATTAATTATTCGGTTATTTTTTCTTTGAGAAATAAACTATTGAAAAAGTGACAAAGACTTTCCCACCAACCTAATACTTCTGAAAAACATGGATGTATTCACGAAGAAACAAACTATGGACTCCGTATAAGAGAGATCAAATTTCAAAATTTTCACGTTTGAGAAAATAATCGAAAAAGAGAAATATTATGAGAATTTACACATTAAAAACAACGATTACAAAAAAAGTTATTTTTAAATAGGAATTTTATTATTTTAATAATAATATATAATAATATATATTTATTTGCAATGCATGGGGGAAATCGATAGATAATTTGGCAAGAAATGGGACCTGTACAAATAAAAAAAGTAAAATGACCAGACGGACCGACTAGAGTCCTGTAGGTCAAGTGGGAGGGATCAGAATATCATAAGGAATCGCTCCTACTCGCTTAGCAAACGCCACCGGACTGAGCTTAGAATTTATCACCTTACATACACGGTTCCACATAGACAAGTTTCTGTGAAGGAAGCAGTCAAAGTATTGACCGTTGATTTTGAACAAATACGGGGCTCTGTTAGAATGGCTGGGAAGAATGTAGGACGATATAGAGGGGAAATGGTATGAGTTTATAACAATTTTGTGATAGGTACGAAGAACTAGAAGGGTGCGGCGATGAAGGGTGGTTAGCATAGAGAACTGGGATAGGCGATCGGTGTATGAATTGAAGGGCATATTACATCTCTGAAAGACTTTTCTGGTAAAATAACGAAGAGGAGATTCTAGTTTATGGCAAGTGTGGAATTGGATGGATCGAAAAGTTCACAACCGTATTCGAGGGCCGGTCTAATGTAGGTGTCGAAGAGACGGAAACATAGACAAGGGTTTTTCGATTGGAACGTTTTCAGTATTTGGCGGGACTTGAGTTTAGCAGAGTAGGCAATAAGATTGATGTGTTTGTCAAATTGAAGTTGATCATCAACTAGTATACCTAGATCCTTGAATGAGCGATGCGGAGTAATGGGGGATCCCTTAATAAGGTAAACTGTCTTAGGATTGCGTTTACCATAATGCATAACGGCCGTCTTATTTTCGGCTAGTTTGAGTCTCCAGATGTCACACCAGTGCTCGACGATTTCGATACTTCTCTGCATACCCAATGGGTCGGAACCGGTTATTTTTAAGTCGTCGGCGAACCCCAGAAAATGTAGCGTGAACATTTATTTTCATTAAATCTGGGTTTTCAAGAAAAATCCACAATTTTTTGATTTATTTTTTAACGTTTTTATTAAAATTAAAGAACAAAAACACAGAATCGTTCTGCAGAACACATCTGTGAGAGAAAAATATGACGCGAAAGTTAAATCACAGAATCGTTCCGCAGAAGAACACAGTTTTGAATAGAAAAAAGAATTTCAATTTTTTCTGCGTGAGCACAGTATTTTTCAAAAAATTCGTTTTGAAACTCCAAACGTGAAAATTTTGAAATTTGATCCCTCTTTTATGGAGCCTGATTTAGGTATAAAATGTAAGAAAAATGACGGCGGTCGTACCCGCAGTTCCCCAAAACCAAGACTACCGTAACCTGAAAATATTCATACTTGAAAAACAAAGGTCAGGAGGGCCCGGAGACCGGGTTTTCCACAATTGAAAAATTTTTGACGACACTGCGTTTTTTTTGCAAACTCAAATGGGCTTTTATTGAACCCGTAAATTTTCAGAGAAAACAGAAAAAAAACTGGTCGAGAAAATTCTGAAAAAACCCTTGCTCTGCTTGCTGGTTTTACAGAGCTAAAAATTCGTATTTTCTGATGCCACGAAGTTAAAATCCTTTCCCTCTATTCCTTGTTACTCTGGCTCCGCCCTATATTACTAATAGGACATATTCGGGCTACTGTATTTTTCTTTCTGCGACCTCCGGACGCGACCACCAGCGTCTCTCATAGTCGAGTGAATATTCAAAGCAAATTTTCTCACTTTGATGCTTTCTACTTGACACACTCCTTCGATTCTTCCTTCCTTTCAATAAAACGAATTTGAATTTAAGAGTGAGAAATACTGGTGTCAACAATTTTCTTATTCCTCATAGTTAGCACATTTTTTACAGATAAACAGTTTGTGTACGCTACACTTCGATAATAAAATAATCTAAAACCTACAATTTCATCATTAGAGAAACGTCGAAGGATTCTTACAGACAATGAACTCCGCCTACTTTTCCTCACTTTTAAGTTATTTAAATAACCTCTCAATTTGCTCGTCAGTTCAGAAACGTTTTGTAGTAGTTTCACTTTTTTTTAGAAAATTGCGAAATTGCTAGCTTCAAGTGTTTTCAGTTTACCCTTCGTTATCAAGTTTTTAGTATTTAAAGGCAGTACCAGTTTGTTGTCCAATTCATTCCACAATTAGCAATGAGCAAGAGAATAGCTTTAAAAGTGTGCCTTCCAATCATTTCACTTCATTTTTTTTCGTTTTTATGTTGCTTCACTATTTTACTCTTCTTCTTTAGTTAGTTTTCAAAAATTCCAGGAAGAATGTCGTATTACTTTGAGTACCTACGAAAAAAACTATCGGAAGAAGGCGATGAACAAAGAAGAAGAGAATATGAGCAATCGATGGAAAGACTGAGGTGAGATAAATGAAGACTTCTGATGCAGTATCAATTTTACAGGAATTTCAAAGAAGGGAGTAGGGAGTCGCATCAGAAGGAACTCGAAATGATGGAGGAGGATAAACAGAAAAGTTTGAAGGAAATTAGAAAGAGAACCGAAGAAAAACTGACTGGTAAGAAACTAAAAAAAGTTTGAAGAGTGGCACACAGACTGATGAAAACGGGTATAGCTTTAGACATAAGCATCTTGGAAGAATGAAAATTGGTAGAAATATAATTTTACGTTTTATTCAAAGCTACTGAAAATTTCAAAGTGATTCATCTTGTCTAGGTATTGTTATGATTGTACAAGGGTGAAATGTTTCTTGCACGCCGTTGTGATTTTCATGAGATCAAGCAACTTTGACAAGCGATAACTCAACTTAAAGGTGGTGTGCGGTGAAAAATTTTATTGCTTCATTTTGTGCAGAAATCCATGTAGATTCCCATAAAAATAAAGAAAAAGTTCAAAAAAATTCCTTCCTTGAGAAAAACGGCATCAAAAAGTCAAAGTTGTATCTGGTGGCCTAGCGGCCAGATGAGAGTTTTCAAGGCCAACTGCCGGTAAAAGCGCGCGAAGTTCGAGTTTTTATTGATTTTCAGTGTTTTCTCTGATTTTTGTCAGGTTTTTTCATACACTTGGGAGGAAATTAACAATAAAACTTTGAAATCTTTAAAAACGCCAGAGAAAACACTGAAAAT